GGTGTGAGCTACATATTCCTCACCATGGAAATCTTTTTGACAGTCCATACAGGATACATTTTTAGGATTATTACGGCATCGTGTATTGTAATGTTTTTCTACCGAGGGTTTTTTAACAGATTCACCACAATTATTGCAGGTAAAGAATACCATTTTGTTAATTAAATTGCCACAATTAAAATTTCTAGAAAAATATGCACAATTTCATTCAAAAAATTGTGTACAAACAAATGCACGTGCAGCAGAGTCCTGCGCCGACAAATATTAACGGCGTTTGCGACTGACACTAAATATGTCGGCGGCGGCTTAAAATCGACTGTAAGCCGGCTAAGTTTTCAACTACGTTTAGTTTTTAAATTTTCGACGATTTTAAATAAAAACGGAATCCGAGAGATCAGAAAGTGGCATTTTGGAAGCAAATATATTGTTTGTAACAACAAAACAGAGCAAGCTCAAAAGTTGTGTGAGAAATTATGCAGGGATGAATAAAAAATGCTTAAAAATTAAAAACAAATCCGCCGATATTTAACCCTATCCTCCATATAAAACGTAAAAACAACCTATTGGAGCTCCAAGCGCTCCAGATGAAAGTCCGCGCTTTTTTCTCCAAAATGTTCAGATGAATATTATAGTTCTTCGTGCAAAATTTGAAGAATTTAGTTCTATTAGTTTCCCAGATAAACGAATTTTTGTATTTAATTCATATGGAAGGTTCCGCTCCATTCATTGGTAGTCCCCCAATTTACTACCCAAAAATTTTACATGGATGTTATAGTTCTTCCAGAACAACATCATTTAAAGGGGTCAGAAAGAGATTGAAAAATATTCCAAAAGTTTCACTTTGAAGCATTATTAGGCGGCTATAGCCGAATCGGCGTAAGTCTCAGACGTGTAATAATTGAATGACGAAGAGAAAGAGCACAGAGAAAAACAGCTGTTGAAGTAAAAAACTGACAATTATTCGCAGAAACTTGGCAGCACGTTTTTGATGATTGGAAAACCAGGGTCGTTATCAATATATAAAATAATAAATAATTATAGTAAAACACAAAATAATTTTGCAATTTCATATGGAAAACCTTGACTAACAAAAAATAAAATCTAAAATTAGCTGTCCACAACCTAAGCATGAAGTTCGAGCAAAGAAGGCGTCAAAGAACGAACGAAAAAGAACTAACTAACTAACAAACTAACTAACGAACGAAAAGAAAGAAAAAAACGAAAGAAGAAAAAAGAAGAAACGAAGAAGAGAACGAACGAAAAGAACGAACGAAAGAAAGAACGAACGAACGACAACGAAAGAAAGAACGAAAGAACGAAAGAAAACGAACGAAAGAAAGAAAGACGAACGAACGAAAAGAACGAAGAAAAAGAAAAAGAACAATGAACGAACGAACGAACGAAACGAAACGAACGAACGAAACGAACGAACGAAACGAACGAACGAACGAACGAACGAACGAAGAACGAACGAAACGAACGAACGAACGAACGAACGAACGAAACGAACGAACGAACGAACGAACGAACGAACGAAACGAAACGAACGAAAACGAACGAACGAGAACGAACGAACGAACGAAACGAACGAACAACGAACGAACGAACGAACTAACGAAAAAACTAACTAACGAACGAAAACGAAACGAACGAACTAATAACTAAGAACGAACAAACGAACTAACGAACGAACGAACGAACGAACGAACGAACGAACGAACGAACGAACGAACGAACGAAACGAAAACGAACTAACGAACTAACTAACGAACGAACTAACTAACTAACTAACTAAAACTAACTAACTAACTAACTAACTAACTAACTAACTAACTAACTAACTAACTAACTAACTAACTAACTAACTAACTAACTAACTAACTAACTAACTAACTAACTAACTAACTAACTAACTAACTACTAACTAACTAACTAACTAACTAACTAACTACTAACTAACTAACTAACTAACTAACCCTGGTTTTCCAATACTTTTATTTTCTGAAAACACTATTTTGACTATGGTTTTAATATTTTCAGGTGGTGTTTCCGAATTTTGCTTATATCACCGTTAATGATTGTTGTAGTTGTAACAGTACGACTGTGGCTGATAGTTCTTTCCTGGGGAAAAACCATTTGATGCAGCTGTCGCTGAGTTGACAATCTTTGGCCGACGCGGGTCGTTCCGGAATGAAGATCCAATTGTTTCGAACTCTTTTTTAATAGAATTATTCAAGATTCAAATCTCGTAAATATTTGATATCATTTGAAAACTGATTTCAACATACATATGTAAACACAAACATGTCCATGTTGAATCGACTAAATCGATTTCAACATTATTTTTAAATCCTTCCGATTCGAAAAATGTTCATATGTCCTTAATTTACTCCCCCTTTAATTATTTGTATCGCAACATTGCCACATTGATTAAAATGCAACTCTTCAACTATCAGAATAACGATCCCTGCTCTATTTGTCAAAGTAGTTTTTTTCTCTCTTATAAATAAAAAGTACCGTTATATTTTACAAGTGCAAAAAAGTGTATTTTTATTAATCATTTTTATAATTAAAGAATATTTTACACAATTTACTTCAAATAACAAAAAATGTAAGTCAAAATTTCCTTAAGTTTCTAATAAATTTCCATGGAATTTTCAAATAATTTCGCCAATTGTTCACGACTCTGTTCGCGTGGTGCTAATTTTATAATACGCTCTTGCGGCAAAGTACCCTCGACTAGAGCAGGAATGTCGGCGGTATTGAAACCTAAACCTTTAAGACCATTTTCTATGCCCGCCTTTTGCATGTAGTCCCTTACACAGTCACCTAAAATTTTGCCGGCATCGGCTTGTTTGGCATTGCTAATGTCTTTACCGAGCAATTTGGCGGCTTCAAGATGGCGTTCGGGACAGGCAGGTGCCAAAAATTCAAAAATGGCCGGGGCGGTAATGACTACAGACAGGCCATGGGGTATAATGGCATGACTATCACCATAACCTTTAGGGCGGAAAGTTCGCACATTTCCCGATATGGGATAGGAGAGACCATGAGGTAAATGTACACCCGCATTGCCAAAACCTACGCCAGCCATGGTAGAGGCTAAATGCATTTGGGAGCGGGCCTTTAAGTTGTCCGGTTGATAGATGGCTGACAAAAAGTTATCCTTAATGGTAGTTAAAGCATAACGAGCCCAAACATCAGATATGGGATTACGACCTTGATAGGGTGGTCTAAGGCTGGGATCGGTAGGAGCTAAACCACGTTCTCTATAATCGACAGCCGTAAAACTTTCCAAAGCATGACAAAATACATCAAAACCACTATAGGCGGTTACTCTCTCAGGTTGTGACAAAGTGTGTAGGGGATCAATCAAACCTGTTGATAGTTTAGATTTGTAAATTGCTAAAGTCTTATTAAATTTTTTCGTTACTTACCCAGTTTAGGTCTTAAATATTTACTAGAGATACCAGTTTTGCAGTGTAGCTTTTTGTAATCGAATATTGCTACTCCGGTAGTTTCCGAGCCTGTTCCCGCTGTGGTGGGTAATGCAATTAAAGGTTTAGTTGCACATTCACTTCTTTACCCTTTCCTATGGGTTTGTTAACATAATCCAAAAATTCTGCTTCCTTATCACACGCGAATAAATTTGCCGCCTTGCAAGTATCTATTACGGAACCTCCTCCTATGGCTACGAAGGCATCAAATTGCTTGGAGCGTGCAAAAGTTGCCGCTTTCCATAAACTTTCATCGGTGGGCTCTACACGCGTCTCATCGTAAACTTCAAATTCTATGCCACTTTTTTTAAGTGAATCAAATGCAGTCATTACACTGGGTAGTTTGGCTACATTTTTATCAGTTACCACACATACCGATTTAGCTCCACCATTACGTAAATCCGCGCCAAGTTCAGCACTTACACCCGGACCAAAACGTACGGTTGAAGAGGACATCTGTTAATTAGAACATTTATTTTTATTATTATTATTTGTCAAGACTGTAGTAGATCATTGTCTATTGTCTGGACTATAGATTAGTCTATAGTCTTGACTATAGATCAAACTATAGAATTGACTTTCGGACAATGTATAGTCTTCACTATAGATCAGTTCAGTTCTATTTCAGTTATTGGTCAGTTCTAATTCAGCTTTAGTTCAGTTCTAGTTCTAGTTCAGTTCTAGTTCAGTTCTAGTTCAGTTCTAGTTCAGTTCTAGTTCAGTTCTAGTTCAGTTCTAGTTCAGTTCAAGTTCAGTTCTAGTTCAGTTCTAGTTCAGTTCTAGTTCAGTTCTAGTTCAGTTCTAGTTCAGTTCTAGTTCAGTTCTAGTTCAGTTAGTTCAGTTCTAGTTCAGTTCTAGTTCAGTTCTAGTTCAGTTCTAGTTCAGTTCTAGTTCAGTTCTAGTTCAGTTCTAGTTCAGTTCTAGTTCAGTTCTAGTTCAGTTCTAGTTCAGTTCTAGTTCAGTTCTAGTTCAGTTCTAGTTCAGTTCTAGTTCAGTTCTACTTCAGTTCTACTTCAGTTCTAGTTCAGTTCTACTTCAGTTCTAGTTCAGTTCTAGTTCAGTTCTAGTTCAGTTCTAGTTCAGTTCTAGTTCAGTTCTAGTTCAGTTCTAGTTCAGTTCTAGTTCAGTTCTAGTTCAGTTCTAGTTCAGTTCTAGTTCAGTTCTAGTTCAGTTCTAGTTCAGTTCTAGTTCAGTTCTAGTTCAGTTCTAGTTCAGTTCTAGTTCAGTTCTAGTTCAGTTCAGTTCAGTTCTAGTCAGTTCTAGTTCAGTTCTAGTTCAGTTCTAGTTCAGTTCTAGTTCAGTTCTAGTTCAGTTCTAGTTCAGTTCTAGTTCAGTTCTAGTTCAGTTCTAGTTCAGTTCTAGTTCAGTTCTAGTTCAGTTCTAGTTCAGTTCTAGTCAGTTCTAGTTCAGTTCTAGTTCAGTTCTAGTTCAGTTCTAGTTCAGTTCTAGTTCAGTTCTAGTTCAGTTCTAGTTCAGTTCTAGTTCAGTTCTAGTTCAGTTCTAGTTCAGTTCTAGTTCAGTTCTAGTTCAGTTCTAGTTCAGTTCTAGTTCAGTTCTAGTTCAGTTCTAGTTCAGTTCTAGTTCAGTTCTAGTTCAGTTCTAGTTCAGTTCTAGTTCAGTTCTAGTTCAGTTCTAGTTCAGTTTCTAGTTCAGTTCTAGTTCAGTTCTAGTTCAGTTCTAGTTCAGTTCTAGTTCAGTTCTAGTTCAGTTCTAGTTCAGTTCTAGTTCTAGTTCTAGTTCTAGTTCAGTTCTAGTTCAGTTCTAGTTCAGTTCTAGTTCAGTTCTAGTTCAGTTCTAGTTCAGTTCTAGTTCATTCTAGTTCAGTTCTAGTTCAGTTCTAGTTAGTCAGTTCTAGTTCTAGTTCAGTTCTAGTTCAGTTCTAGTTCAGTTCTAGTTCAGTTCTAGTTCAGTTCTAGTTCAGTTCTAGTTTCAGTTCTAGTTCAGTTCTAGTTCAGTTCTAGTTCAGTTCTAGTCAGTTCTAGTTCAGTTCTAGTTCAGTTCTAGTTCAGTTCTAGTTCAGTTCTAGTTCAGTTCTAGTTCAGTTCTAGTTCAATTCTCGTTCTAGTCAGTTCTAGTTCAGTTCTAGTTCAGTTCTAGTTCAGTTCTAGTTCAATTCTAGTTCAGTTCTAGTTCAAAATCAGTTCTAGTTTTGTTCTGGTTCAGTTCTAGTTCAGTTCTAGTTGCGAACAGGTAAAAAGACAAAATAAGAAATTTTCTAAAAAACAATATTAAATTTTTAGATTCTGACATAATTTCGTTTAGATTCAGAAATAAATCCAGCAATTTGTTCCTATTATTCTGTGTCTCATGACTTTCATAATAAAATAATAAATAACAAAGACATGTATACTAATAATAATCAATTTGATGCATCTGGTTGGACCTTGTACCCACAAACAATTACTTACGAACACCTTCCCACTTTGTCTTTTAAATCTATACTTTGTCATTAAATTCTATTTTTTCTAAAAAACATCTTCAATAGTAAAAAAATCCAAATTAAACTATAATCTACTGAACTTTATACTTTTTTATTTAACAAGACCTAAAAGCAGACAGACAATTTTATCGCCAGACATGTCTTCCCAAAATAAAAGATTAAAAATTGATCAACACACTTCTAAACAACACAAATAGAGTTGAGACTAAATATTAAACATTTTGTTTGTATGTCTTAAGATATAGATTTTATTAATTAATTATTATAAATAAATACCTCAAAAGCATATTCCATTTTACCGGTTTGTGAAACATTGGCTGCACTTGATCCATAATTGCTGGAATGTGCGGGACATTTACAGCTAAAATTTTAAATTAATAACAATTTCTTTGAAAAATATGAAATCAAAACAATTTAATTCACTTACGAATTATGTACAATTGTATTTACTAAATTTAAGACATTTTTTTCGTGACATCTTAATAGAATTTTAATATTTTTTAGTTCTTTTATTGTTTATTTATTTTTGTCTGCTGCTCTCGAATGTTAGTGTTGTACTAATTTGATAAGAAATTGTAGATTTCCATTATACATAGTAGCTTGTGGGTGAAGGTATACAAAATAGAGAGAATGAGAGCATATACATATAGTAGAGAGTTGTATCTTTATAAAAGCAAACATATGTTTTTTGATCGGTTTAGAATCCATCCAATCTATGTGCACTTTTAATGAAAATTGTTTTTAACAGCAAACGATGTTTATTTATTCTTTATTTAATACTTTAACACATTCTATAGCCAATACTGGGATTGAAATTATAAATGGAAAGCAAGTAAAAAAGTCCATATGTTAGAAAGGTGTCGAAAAGTAGACTTTATGTGAGTTAGATTTCATAATGAACTAACCAATGATGGTAGAATTTTTAATGTAGTTGTGAAACCTATTATTGAAAGTGGAATTTTTCACAATTTCGATATTATTATGCGACTTCTTATATAATTTTAAGGAACTTTGATATAACAATTGATTATTTTAACATGATTGAATATGTGATTAGGCCTTGGAAAGGCTTTATTTAGATATTCCTACATTGTCAAATATAGTCCCAATATCAGTATAATTGATGATGCATTTTATTTTTTACTCTTTAAGCTGGAGATATACTTCCGTTCTAGTTCAGTCTAGTTCAGTTCGAGTTCAGTTCTAGTTCGTAGTTCAGTTCTAGTACAGTCTAGTTCAGTTCTAGTTCAGTCTAGTTCAAGGTCTAGTTCAGTTCTAGTTCAGTTCTAGTTCAGTTCTAGTTCAGTTCTAGTTTCAGTCTAGTTCAGTAGTTCAGTTCTATCAGTTCTAATTCAGTTCTAGTTCAAGTTCTAGAGTTCAGTTCTAGTCAGTTCTAGTTCAGTTCTAGTTCAGTTCTAGTTCAGTTCTAGTTCAGTTCTAGTTCAGTTCTAGTTCAGTTCTAGTTCAGTTCTAGTTCAGTTCTAGTTCAGTTCTAGTTCAGTTCTAGTTCAGTTCTAGTTCAGTTCTAGTTCAGTTCTAGTTCAGTTCTAGTTCAGTTCCAGTTCAGTTCTAGTTCAGTTCTAGTTCAGTTCTAGTTCAGTACTAGTTCAGTTCTAGTTCAGTTCTAGTTCAGTTCTAGTTCAGTTCTAGTTCAGTTTTAGTTCAGTTCTAGTTCAGTTCTAGTTCAGTTCTAATTCAGTTCTAGTTCAGTTCTAGTTCAGTTCTAGTTCAGTTCTAGTTCAGTTCTAGTTCAGTTCTAGTTCAGTTCTAGTTCAGTTCAGTTCTAGTTCTAGTTCAGTTCTAGTTCTAGTTCAGTTCTAGTTCAGTTATAGTTCAGTTCTAGTTCAGTTCTAGTTCAGTTCTAGTTCAGTTCTAGTTCAGTTCTAGTCAGTTCTAGTTCAGTTCTAGTTCAGTTCTAGTTCAGTTCTAGTTCAGTTCTAGTTCAGTTCTAGTTCAGTTCTAGTTCAGTTCTAGTTCAGTTCTAGTTCAGTTAGTTCAGTTCTAGTTCAGTTCTAGTCGGTTCTAGTTCAGTTCTAGTTCAGTTCTAGTTCAGTTCTAGTTCAGTTCTAGTTCAGTTCTAGTTCAGTTCTAGTTCAGTTCTAGTTCAGTTCTAGTTCAGTTCTAGTTCAGTTCTAGTTCAGTTCTAGTTCAGTTCTTACAGTTCTAGTTCAGTTCTAGTTCAGTTCTAGTTCAGTTCTAGTTCAGTTCTAGTTCAGTTCTAGTTCAGTTCTAGTTCAGTTCTAGTTCAGTTCTAGTTCAGTTCTAGTTCAGTTCTAGTTCAGTTCTAATTCAGTTCTTGTTCAGTTCTAGTTCAGTTCTAGTTCAGTTCTAGTTCAGTTCTAGTTCAGTTCTAGTTCAGTTCTAGTTCAGTTCTAGTTCAGTTCTAGTTCAGTTCTAGTTCAGTTCTAGTTCAGTTCTAGTTCAGTTCTAGTTCAGTTCTAGTTCAGTTCTAGTTCAGTTCTAGTTCAGTTCTAGTTCAGTTCTAGTTCAGTTCTAGTTCAGTTCTAGTTCAGTTCTAGTTCAGTTCTAGTTCAGTTCTAGTTCAGTTCTAGTTCAGTTCTAGTTCAGTTCTAGTTCAGTTCTAGTTCAGTTCTAGTTCAGTTCTAGTTCAGTTCTAGTTCAGTTCTAGTTCAGTTCTAGTTCAGTTCTAGTTCAGTTCTAGTTCAGTTCTAATTCAGTTCTAATTCAGTTCTAGTTCAGTTCTAGTTCAGTTCTAGTTCAGTTCTAGTTTCAGTTCTAGTTCAGTTCTAGTTCAGTTCTAGTTCAGTTCTAGTTCAGTTCTAGTTCAGTTCTAGTTCAGTTCTAGTTCAGTTCTAGTTCAGTTCTAGTTCAGTTCTAGTTCAGTTCTAGTTCAGTTCTAGTTCAGTTCTAGTCAGTTCTAATTCAGTTCTAGTTCAGTTCTAGTTCAGTTCTAGTTCAGTTCTAGTTCAGTTCTAGTTCAGTTCTAGTTCAGTTCTAGTTCAGTTCTAGTTCAGTTCTAGTTCAGTTCTAGTTCAGTTCTAGTTCAGTTCTAGTTCAGTTCTAGTTCAGTTCTAGTTCAGTTCTAGTTCAGTTCAGTTCTAGTTCTAGTTCAGTTCTAGTTCAGTTCTAGTTCAGTTCTAGTTCAGTTATAGTTCAGTTAGTTCAGTTCTAGTTCAGTTCTAGTTCAGTTCTAGTTCATTGTTCTAGTTCTAGTTGAGTTCTAGTTCAGTTCTAGTTCAGTTCTAGTTCAGTTCTAGTTCAGTTCTAGTTCAGTTCTAGTTCAGTTCTAGTTCAGTTCTAGTTCAGTTCTAGTTCAGTTCTAGTTCAGTTCTAGTTCAGTTCTAGTTCAGTTCTAGTTTCAGTTAGTTCAGTTCTAGTTCAGTTCTAGTTCAGTTCTAGTTCAGTTCTAGTTCAGTTCTAGTTCAGTTCTAGTTCAGTTCTAGTTCAGTTCTAGTTCAGTTCTAGTTCAGTTCTAGTTCAGTTCTAGTTCAGTTCTAGTTCAGTTCAGTTCAGTTCTAGTTCAGTTCAGTTCTAGTTCAGTTCTAGTTCAGTTCTAGTTCAGTTCTAGTTCAGTTCTAGTTCAGTTCTAGTTCAGTTCTAGTTCAGTTCTAGTTCAGTTCTAGTTCAGTTCTAGTTCAGTTCTAGTTCAGTTCTAGTTCAGTTCTAGTTCAGTTCTAGTTCAGTTCTAGTTCAGTTCTAGTTCAGTTCTAGTTCAGTTCTAGTTCAGTTCTAGTTCAGTTCTAGTTCAGTTCTAGTTCAGTTCTAGTTCAGTTCTAGTTCAGTTCTAGTTCAGTTCTAGTTCAGTTCTAGTTCAGTTCTAGTTCAGTTCTAGTTCAGTTCTAGTTCAGTTCTAGTTCAGTTCTAGTTCAGTTCTAGTTCAGTTCTAGTTCAGTTCTAGTTCAGTTCTAATTCAGTTCTTGTTCAGTTCTAGTTCAGTTCTAGTTCAGTTCTAGTTCAGTTCTAGTTCAGTTCTAGTTCAGTTCTAGTTCAGTTCTAGTTCAGTTCTAGTTCAGTTCTAGTTCAGTTCTAGTTCAGTTCTAGTTCAGTTCTAGTTCAGTTCAGTTCTAGTTCAGTTCAGTTCTAGTTCAGTTCTAGTTCAGTTCAGTTCTAGTTCAGTTCAGTTCAGTTCAGTTCAGTTCAGTTCAGTTCTAGTTCAGTTCAGTTCTAGTTCAGTTCTAGTTCAGTTCTAGTTCAGTTCTAGTTCAGTTCTAATTCAGTTCTAGTTCAGTTCTAGTTCAGTTCTAGTTCAGTTCTAGTTCAGTTCTAGTTCAGTTCTAGTTCAGTTCTAGTTCAGTTCTAGTTCAGTTCTAGTTCAGTTCTAGTTCAGTTCTAGTTCAGTTCTAGTTCAGTTCTAGTTCAGTTCTAGTTCAGTTCTAGTTCAGTTCTAGTTCAGTTCTAGTTCAGTTCTAGTTCAGTTCTAGTTCAGTTCTAGTTCAGTTCTAGTTCAGTTCTAGTTCAGTTCTAGTTCAGTTCTAGTTCAGTTCTAGTTCAGTTCTAGTTCAGTTCTAGTTCAGTTCTAGTTCAGTTCTAGTTCAGTTCTAGTTCAGTTCTAGTTCTTTCTAGTTCAGTTCTAGTTCAGTTCTAGTTCAGTTCTAATTCAGTTCTAGTTCAGTTCTAGTTCAGTTCTAGTTCTTCTAGTTCTAGTTCAGTTCTAGTTCAGTTCTAGTTCAGTTCTAGTCAGTTCTAGTTCAGTTCTAGTTCAGTTCTAGTTCAGTTCTAGTTCAGTTCTAGTTCAGTTCTAGTTCAGTTCTAGTTCAGTTCTAGTTCAGTTCTAGTTCAGTTCTAGTTCAGTTCTAGTTCAGTTCTAGTTCAGTTCTAGTTCAGTTCTAGTTCAGTTCTAGTTCAGTTCTAGTTCAGTTCTAGTTCAGTTCTAGTTCAGTTCTAGTTCAGTTCTAGTTCAGTTCTAGTTCAGTTCTAGTTCAGTTCTAGTTCAGTTTCTAGTCAGTTCTAGTTCAGTTCTAGTCAGTTCTAGTTCAGTTCTAGTTCAGTTCTAGTTCAGTTCTAGTCCAGTTCTAATTCAGTTCTAGTTCAGTTCTAGTTCAGTTCTAGTTCAGTTCTAGTTCAGTTCTAGTTCAGTTCTAGTTCAGTTCTAGTTCAGTTCTAGTTCTGTTCTAGTTCAGTTCTAGTTCAGTTCTAGTTCAGTTCTAGTTCAGTTTCTAGTTCAGTTCTAGTTCAGTTCTAGTTCAGTTCTAGTTCAGTTCTAGTTCAGTTTCTAGTTCAGTTCTAGTTCAGTTCTAGTTCAGTTTCTAGTTTCAGTTCTAGTTCAGTTTCTAGTTCAGTTCTAGTTCAGTTCTAGTTCAGTTCTAGTTCAGTTCTAGTTCAGTTCTAGTTCAGTTCTAGTTCAGTTCTAGTTCAGTTCTAGTTCAGTTCTAGTTCAGTTCTAGTTCAGTTCTAGTTCAGTTCTAGTTCAGTTCTAGTTCAGTTCTAGTTCAGTTTCTAGTTCAGTTCTAGTTCAGTTCTAGTTCAGTTCTAGTTCAGTTCTAGTTCAGTTCTAGTTCAGTTCTAGTTCAGTTCTAGTTCAGTTCTAGTTCTAGTTCAGTTCTAGTATCAGTTCTAGTTCAGTTCTAGTTCAGTTCTAGTTCAGTTCTAGTTCAGTTCTAGTTCAGTTCTAGTTCAGTTCTAGTTCAGTTCTAGTTCAGTTCTAGTTCAGTTCTAGTTCAGTTTCTAGTCAGTTCTAGTTCAGTTCTAGTTCAGTTCTAGTCAGTCTAGTTCAGTTCTAGTTCAGTTCTAGTTCAGTTCTAGTTCAGTTCTAGTTCAGTTCTAGTTCAGTTCTAGTTCAGTTCTAGTTCAGTTCTAGTTCAGTTCTAGTTCAGTTCTAGTTCAGTTCTAGTTCAGTTCTAGTTCAGTTCTAGTTCAGTTCTAGTTCAGTTCTAGTTCAGTTCTAGTTCAGTTCTAGTTCAGTTCTAGTTCAGTTCTAGTTCAGTTCTAGTTCAGTTCTAGTTCAGTTCTAGTTCAGTTCTAGTTCAGTTCTAGTTCAGTTCTAGTTCAGTTCTAGTTCAGTTCTAGTTCAGTTCTAGTTCAGTTCTAGTTCAGTTCTAGTTCAGTTCTAGTCAGTCTAGTTCAGTTCTAGTTCAGTTCTAGATCATTTCTTGTTCAGTTCTAGTACATTCCTAGTTCAGTTCTTAAAAATACCTGTATTGATCATTTGACTTTAAATAAAAGTACATATTTTGAAAATTAAATTACCTGCATTGCAGAATTTAAACAATTTTTGGTTTCCCATATAACAACGAATTACTAACCCAAACAAAAAAAATTAATCGCACACCTTATCTCTTTGCTCTCTTTAACATCTGTGCATTTTTTGCAGATATCAAATTTTAACTCAAACATTTCTAAACGATGGCAGAATTTGAATTTTCATTTACTTTCGATGAGGGCAACTATGAAAATGATTTCAGTGGTGATCTATATGATTTTGAAAACATGTGGCAAGATATCGCTGAAGAGTTGCGACAAAAAGATGAAAACGATCAATTTCAACAAATGTTTCATCAAAAGTTACACATTGACCCAAACTATGAAAAGGTCTGCCATCAAAGAGAACGTTATATTTGAAGCGATTTATTTATCTTACAAGTTTTTTTTATATCTTTTTTGTTATTTTTTTTTATTTATTTTATTTAAATAACTTTTGCCTAACTATGACTATTATTTTATTTTATTTAAAATGTTGTTTATAGTTTTATATTTATGTTTTTTTCTAAGAAATATTTTAAAAGACTTCAACTGGTTTGAATGTTAATTATTTTTATTTTAAAGAATTTAAATTTTCACTTTATTGTGATAAAATATTTAATTCGTTATTTTATTGTAAATATTTGATAATCGTTTTATTGCTTTTTTTTGCAAAACAAACTGTTATCGTTTAATTAATTGTTGAAAAATAATTATTTTATTATTAATATTCTTTTAAAAATTAACGTTTTAACTGTTTCAACTCTCAAATATGAGACAATTTTAAATATTTTATATTTATGTTTTATTTATTTAAAAAACATATTATTCTTTGAAGTTTTGTTTATTGGCTAATTTCAAAATTGTATTTGGCTAAATGTATTTTTAAATGTATGCAATTATGTATTCTTAATTGTTTTAAAACATTCTTTTAATAACAAAACAAATTTTTTATATAATTTTATTTGTATTAACAAGTTTTTAACTAAAACTAAAAAGGTTCGATTTCATCTAAAAAATTTCATGTAATAAAAGTAAAACCATGAAACATTTCAGAACAAATTCATGGAATTTCATAACAAAACAAAACTTTATTTTAAACATATTCATCATATTGATGATGCCGGCCAATAATCCATATTTCTTGTATTTATTAGATAATTCTATATCTTGAAATTCAAAGTTCAAAATGATCTATTTCGTGTTTTGACTTTTTATTTAAAAGTTATTCTAAACATAAACGTCTTTCATCCTATATCGTGGTATATATGTATGTATCTTGTTATATATTATTTGCAATTATTTTGTATATATGAAATCGAACTTAATTTCAATCTTAAGTTAAATTTAATGTTAACTTTTGACTTTGATTATATAAGAAAGCTTGTAAATTTTTAATATTTTAAATAAATGCCTTTTTAAACTATTTTTTTAAAATTGATATATTTTATTACAAAAATCTATTAAATACATGGTTACGGATTAGTCTTGATTATGTATAGTCTTGACTATTGATTTGTTTAAAGTCTTCATTATTGATCATTCTATAGTCATATTCGTCTATTGTCTTACCGTAGATTCGTCCATAGACTTGACTATAGATTCGTCTATAGTCTTGACTATAGATTCGTCTATAGTCTTGACTATATATTAGTCTACATTCCTGACTATAGATCAGTCTATACTCTTGACTATAGATCAGTCTATAGTTTGATTATAGATCAGTCTATAGTCATGACTGTAGATCAGTCTATAGTCTGGACTATTGGTCAGTCTATAGTCCATAGTCTTGACTATAGATCAGTCTATAGTCAAGACTATAGATCAGCCTATAGTCTTGATTATAGATCAGCCTATAGTCTTGACTATAGATCAATCTATAGTCTCGACTATAGATCAGTCTATAGTTTTGACTATAGATCAGTCTATAGTCTTGGCTATAAGTCAGTCTATAGTCTTGACTATAGATCAGTCTATAGTCTTGACTATAGATCAGTCTATAGTCTTGACTATAGATCAGTCTATAGTCTTGACTATAGATCAGTCTACAGTCTTGACTATAGATCAGTCTATAGTCTTGGCTATAGATCAGTCTATAGTCTTGACTATAGATCAGTCTATAGTATTGACTATAGATCAGTCTATAGTCTTAGCTATAGATCAGTCTATAGTCTTTACTATAGGTCAGTCTACAGTGCATAGATCAGTCTATAGTCTTGGCAATAGATCAGTCTATAGTCTTGACTATAGATCAGTTTATAGTCTTGACTATAGATCAGTCTATAGACTTGACTATAGATCATTTTTGTTAATAAAGATAGATTCGTTCAATTTTGCAATAAAATTGTTGCTGAAATCCAAATCAAAAAATGTCTTCTATTGGTTAAAGGTGGTGGTTTCCAAATACATTCATGTTGTTTCAGTTTTGACTATACATCAGCCTATAGTCTTGACTATAGATCAGTCTAGAGTCTTGACTATAGATCAGTCTATAGTCTTGACTATAGATCAGTCTATAGTCTTGACTATATATCAGTCTATAATTTTAACTATAGATCAGTCTATAGTCTGGACTATAGATCAGTCTATAGTCTTGACTATAGATCAGCCTATAGTCTTAGCTGTAGATCAGTCTATAGTCTTAGCTATAGATCAGTCTATAGTCTTGACTATAGTTCAGTCTATAGTCTTGACCTTAGATCTATAGTCGTGACTATAGATCAGTCTATAGTCTTGACTATAGATCAGTCTAAAGTCTTGACTATAGGTCAGTCTACAGTCCATAGATCAGTCTATAGTATTGACTATAGATCAGTCTATAGTCTTGACTATAGATCATTTTGTTAATAAAGATCGATTCGTTCAATTTTGCAATAAAATTGTTGCTGAAATCCAAATCAAAAACTGTCTTCTATTTGTTAAAGGTGGTGGTTTCCAAATGCATTCATGTTGTTTCAGGTCAATTTCATGGTGGCCAAATGAGGGTTAGTGGGTAAGGTGTTCTGTCTAGCGCCCTAAATTCAGTTTATTGTAAATATTTTTTGTGAGTGTCGGTTCATAATTAAGAACAATTATCGATATTATTTCTTTTCTTCAGTTGTTTTAAATGTCAAAAGAACATATTAAGAGGGGTAAATTATATAATTCAGAATAACCAATATCAGAATAACCAATATCTTAATTACTTTCCTTTAAATCCAACTTCAGACCAAAAAAAAAAAACAACAATTTCAACTTTTTGGAAGCTTTATTAAAAAAACTGAAAACTTTATTAAATCTTCCATTTATTATGTCTTCCAAAAAGCGAACATATTTTAGCAACTAAAACTAAAAGTTAAATATAAATTTTCTTTTACAAACATATATCGCCAATAATAAAAACTAACTTAAATGGTTTATTTTGTTTTTATATTTAATTTATTAAATTATTAATGTAAATAACTGCAAAAAAATTTTATACAGAAAAAGAAAAAAAAAAAAAAAATAATTAAATTAAAATATAATAATTTATAATAATAAAAAAAATATAGAAAGAATAATTTGAATGTTAAAGAACAAAAAAGTTATAGAAAAATAAATTCCCCAAACAGAATTTTAGTAAAATTATTAGAACTGCAAAATGTTATTTATAGTTTTGGAGTTATCAACAAAGAATTAAATTGATTATTTTTTTTTCATTTCATAAAAGTGATGACCACCAAACATGGCACTTTAAGGAGTAAATAACTGCATATTTTATATATATATTTTATTTTAACGGGAAGTGGGGTACGGATTTTTGAAATTTAGTTAAATGCAATTTGGTAATAAACTTTAATATTTTACAATTTAATTAAATTGTTTCTTATTAAGTACAATTTTGTGGAATACATATTTTGTTGGTACATATTTTGGAAATGTTCACAATTGTTTAGGAATTATTGAAGATGTGTGTTATGGATGTTTAATACTATTTTTTTTTTAAATATAATTTTTTTATTTAGTTTTTTGTTTAAATATATTTATTTATTAAATTAAATAGAAATTTTGTCTTTTGTTTTAACGTTTCATTAAATGTTGGAAAACTTGGTTAAATCATCTTAAGTTTAAATATGTAAATATTTTATTTATATAGTATGTATATATGTATAAATAAAAACCGATTACTAAATTATCAGTTTTAATTTCAAATTTAAAAAAAAAATACTCGGTTCTTTTAGATTTTCTTTAAAAAAACTACAAAAATAACTGTAAATATTTAACCCTCTCTTAGATGTGCTGATCTATTAAACTAAAAACTACTCAAAAGCCAATAAACTAAGACCTTTTTTTTTTTGATTTTCTATAAAATAAATCGGATGTTAGAGAAACTCTAGCGATAAAAAAAACATAGATAATAATTTAACATATAGCTGGTATTTAGCTGTAGCTTCTCTGAAACAACCGTTTTAAACAGGCCTATTAAACAATATACTCTCCTCTCTTCTACTCTTCTTTACCCTACACTCTTCTGACTTCTTTTTTATATTACTTCTGTGTGTGTATTATTGATTCTAAACTTGATTGATGGGAGTATATTGATGTACTTTAGGTTGTTTAGGCTCTTTGGGTGGCTTAATGTCTTCGGTAAGTTTTTGATATACAATGGAATTTGTATGAGCCTGTAATAGTGACATACGATAACGTTCGCCACGTTTGCGCATAATCATCGATATGATTTTGGCAATAACTATGAGTAATATAATCACACTGGTGATTATTATAATGATGGGCACTAAGAATTTATAACCACTATAGTAAATGTGACCACGTTCAATAATGTATTCCTCATCATTGTCATCATCATCATCATCCTCTTCGTCATCATCTTCCTCATCGTCATCGTTGTGCTCCAAATGCTTTTTGCGATCGGCAATAAATTTATCTGTAAATAGATACAAACATTAATATAAAGAATAACTTGATCCCACTCCAGCTAAGAACTTACCCAATAAGAAACGATCATTGGTTTCTTTACTCAAATCGATCTCTTCTACACGTATACCATGATCGATAATCTTTTTGGAAATTTCAGCCTTCTTTTCATAATCATCGTAATCATCTTGATTATTATCAGCATTGTCATCCTCGTCATCATCGTCTTCACCATCATCTTCATCATACTCAGATTCGTCTTCATCCTTCTCCTCTTCGGCGGCATTAATATCATCCTCATTCATTAAGACCTCATGATGTGAATCCTTCAAAATCTTTTGCAATTTATTATTTTCCATAATGTTCAATAAGTTCTTGGCATCTTCATCCAAATCCTTATCGGCCTTTTGTAAACGTTTCTCGAACTTATTACCGCCCATATTCTTTTTGTGTGTCAAATCTTCATGTTTGCAGACCTCATGAGCCAAAGAAGCCCAACCGGCTTGACTTTGTATTTCAATCTGTTGACTATCGCCCAATTCCAAATTGGCCAAAGTGGGCATAGAGTGTGGCATCAATTGGTGATTAAGAGAAACATAGCTTATAAAGTCCTGGAAATCTTCATTACATTTCAAGGGATTATGACTAATGTCTAGGCTTCTTAAGTTCTTGAAATTGCGCACATCATTGGAGTGTATTTTGTGTATTTGATTAGAGGAGGCATTGAATGATTTCAAAGTTTCATAGAATTTGTATTTGCGTCCCACACCAAATTGGTTGTCGGTCAACAGGGTCTTCAATTCACAATCGCTAACATCCAATTCACGCAATTTACTCAAGGGCAAGAATAGGCGTACGGAGAGTTTGTGTATGGGATTGCCAGCCAAATTCAATTTGGTCAAGTCGTTGTTATTCATAAAGATCAATTCATCCAATTTGGCAATTAAGTTATTGCTCAAATCCAAATCAATCAATTTCTTCAAACTGGCAAAAGTATCTCTTTCCAAGTTATTAATATTATTCCAGGCCAATTTCAAAGTGGCCAAATGAGGCATAGTGGAGAAGGTCTTATGGCCCAAGGCACCAATAGCACAATTGGATATATCCAAATAGTAAACAGTGAAATAACCATTATAACTGCGGAAACCATCAGTAGGCAATTGACTCAATCTGGGATTGTCATTCAATCTAATCACATCCAGTTCAGAATTCTTAAAGAAGATCATGCTTGACACTTGATCCAATTCGTTAATGGACAAATCAATGTGTCTCAAATTCTTCAAAGTCATAAAGGAATCGGGTTGTATCTTGGTCAAACCATTGCCCTTCAAATTCAAATTTGTTAGACCAGTCATCTTATCGAACATGCCATGATGAACAGTGTGTATTTGATTGAAACTTAAGTCCAATTGTTGCAAATCGGAAGTACCGAATTTCAAATCATTAGTAATGGAATTGTATTTCAAGTGTAAAATAGCCAAAGCGGTTTGGTTGAAGATGGTGGGTGGCAAAGTTTTCAAAGAGTTATAGGAAAGATCTAATTCTTCAATAGTTTCCAATTTATCAAAGACACCTTCGGGGATTTTCTGTAAATTGTTTTGAGACAAATTAATGTAAATAATGTTGGTCAATTGGGAGAAGGCATTGGGATTAAGTTCCATTAAATTGTTGCGTGATAAATCCAATTCTTCAATGCTGGAAGACTGTAAAGGAAAACAAGACAAAAATGGTTAAATATTTAAAATGTATAAAATATATATAAAAATATCCTACCTTCAACAAATAATGAACACTAGACATAACACTCAAATCATTGCCAGATATGGTCAACAAACGCAATTTCTTGTTCTTGGCAAAAGTATCAGGATTGATAATGGCCAAACCAACGTTGGTGAAATTGACCGAGAATAATTCATCCAAACCATTGAAGGCATCCGGATGCAAATACTCAATGGTACAGTTGGCAATCTTAATAGTGGAAACATGTTTCAAACCCAAGTCCACAAAGAAATTAGGACCCAATAAAATGGGATACATAGGACCAACATCGGTTACCACTAAATCAGTAATATCTTTGCCGAATTTTTGGGTACCGGTATCAATGCGACTACAATAGGCTACCAAATAACTATTGGCATTACGTTCGCAAGTACAGTAACGTGGACAGGGTACATCTTCACTAAAGACAACTTCTTCTTCATCCTTGATGTCATTGTCATTCTCAAATTCATCATCGTCTTCATCATCATAGTCGTCATCATCATCTTCATCGTCCTCATTTACTGTGTTGTCATCATGGAATTCAATATTATTCGATTCCTTATTGTCCTCAACGGGGGCTTTAGCAGTGGAAGTCTGAAAATGTTTTACAATATAAAACCAATTTTTTAAATTTGTTAAATTCCCAAACTACCTTGATATCTTCCTTAATCGGTTTCATTTCAATGGGTTTCTTGGCCAATTTCTCCTTGTTTTTCGCTTTCTTATTGGATTGATCATAATTCATATCGTAATCATAATCATCGTAATTATCATACTCATCATCGTAAGAATCATCAACAGGTTCTGCTGTAGTGCTAGCAGTTGAATTTAATTTTTTAGCCAATAACTGTTTGAATCTAAAAGAAATTTGAACACAATAAATTAAAAATAATTCAAAATTTGAAATATCACTTATTAACATACCTTTCATCCTTGGACAAGGCTTCGGAATGTTTAGAAGCTTCCATCAAATCATTTAACATATTGTCACTAAGAGTTTTTTGCGTACTACTGCCCATAGCGTTACGACTCTTTTCACTTGTTGTTGTGGGCAAGGGTGTTTCCTTTACTTTCGGCGTTGAAATTCTCACATGCTTTTCTTCTACAGCAGTCAAATCGTCATCGAGGTCCAATTGATTGTCCGGTACATCATCGTGTACAATTTTAAGGGGATTGATGGAACTGGTGAGTGCTAACTGAAAAACCCCTATGGAGAGGAGTAACAGTAGCACCAGTCTTGACTGGCGTGACATACTGGAGTGTTTTGAAATCTGGAAATGTGAAAAAAATTAAACGTTTCTTAGGGATTGTTTGTTGCAAGCTTTGTCATAAGGTTCATTTAAGTTTTTCTTTTCTATAATCTATAGACTTTTCAATAGTCAAGACTATAGTCTATTGTATAGTCCAGACTATAGTATATTCTATAGTACGAACTTTAGCCTATTCTATAGTCCAGCCTAAAGTCTATTCTATAGTCCAGACTGAAGTCTATTTTATAATCCAGACTATAGTCTATTCTACAGGCCAGACTATAGTCTATTCTATAATCCAGTCTATTCTATAATCCAGACTATAGTCAATTCTATAGTCCAGACTATAGTCTATTCTATAGTCCAGACTATAGTCTATTCTATAGTGCAGACTATAGTCTATTCTATAGCCCAGACTATAGTCTATTCTATAGTCCAGCCTATAGTTCATTCTATAGTACGAACTATAGCCTATTCTATAGTCCAGACTAAAGTCTATTCTATAGTCCAGACTAAAGTCCAGACTAAAGTCTATTCTATAGTCCAGACTAAAGTCTATTCTATAGTCCAGACTAAAGTCTATTCTATAGTCCAGACTAAAGTCTATTCTATAGTCCAGACTAAAGTCTATTCTATAGTCCAGACTAAAGTCTATTCTATAGTCCAGACTATAGTTTATTCTATAGTCCAGACTATAGTCTATTCTATAGTCCAGACTATAGTCTATTCTATAGTCCAGACTATAGTCTATTCTATAGTCCAGACTATAGTCTATTCTATAGTCCAGACTATAGTTCTATTCTATAGTCCAGACTATAGTCTATTCTATAGTCCAGACTATAGTCTATTCTATAGTCCAGACTATAGTCTATTCTATAGTCCAGACTATAGTCTATTCTATAGTCCAGACTATAGTCTATTCTATAGTCCAGACTATAGTCTATTCTATAGTCCAGACCAGACTATAGTCTATTCTATAGTCCAGACTATAGTCTATTCTATAGTCCAGACTATAGTCTATTCTATAGTCCAGACTATAGTCTATTCTATAGTCCAGACTATAGTCTATTCTATAGTCCAGACTATAGTCTATTCTATAGTCCAGACTATAGTCTATTCTATAGTCCAGACTATAGTCTATTCTATAGTCCAGACTATAGTCTATTCTATAGTCCAGACTATAGTCTATTCTATAGTCCAGACTATAGTCTATTCTATAGTCCAGACTGTAGTCTATTCTATAGTCCAGACTATAGTCTATTCAATAGTCCAGACTATAGTCTATTCTATAGTCCAGACTATAGTCTATTCTATAGTCCAGACTATAGTCTATTCTATAGTCCAGACTATAGTCTATTCTATAGTCCAGACTATAGTCTATTCTATAGTCCAGACTATAGTCTATTCTATAGTCCAGACTATAGTCTATTCTATAGTCCAGACTATAGTCTATTCTATAGTCCAGACTATAGTCTATTCTATAGTCCAGACTAAAGTCTATTCTATAGTCCAGACTAAAGTATATTCTATAGTCCAGACTAAAGTCTATTCTATAGGCCAGACTATGGTCTATTCTATAGTCCAGAGTATAGTCTATTCTATAGTCCAGAGTATAGTCTATTCTATAGTCCAGAGTATAGTCTATTCTATAGTCCAGTCAATTCTATAGTCCAGACTATAGTCAAATCTATAGTCCAGACTATAGTGTCTATTCTATAATCCAGACTATAGTCTATTCTAAAGTCCAGATTATAGTCTATTCTATAGTCCAGACTATAGTCTATTCTATAGTCCAGACTATAGTCTATTCTATAGTCCAGACTATAGTCTATTCTATAGTCCAAACTATAGTCTATTCTATAGTCCAGACTATAGTCGATTCTATAGCCCAGACTATAGTTTATTCTATAGTCCAAAAAGTTGAGTATATATAGATTGTTTTATAGCCTTGTCTGTAGTCTGGTCTATAGTCCGGAATATAGACTATTTGATAGTATCAATTATGCACTGTTTTATAGTCTTGAATATAGAATCCCATAGCCTCAACCATGTTCTATAGTATTAAGTAGTTAGACTGTGCTATAGTTTTGACTATCGACTGTAGAATGTTCTATAGTCTCTATTATAGAATATTCTATAGTTAACTGTTCTACACTCTTGACTACATACTGTTCGATACTCTCTACTGTAGATTCTTCCATACTCTCGACTATAGACTGTTCTATACCTACTCTCGACTAGAGGTCGCAACCTACAATTTTACTCCAGTATTTACTAACGTTTTTACAACGAAAATACCAAAATTTATAAATAGCTTATAGCAAAAGTAACTAATTTAATTTTATCTCAAATAAATAATAATAAAAAAATGTTATCTTTCAACGCTGATAAGATACGAAAAACAATTATACAGAAAAAATACTAAATATTATTACCATGAGTAGTAGTAAATGTTGACAACATTATGCTATTGGCTAAAAAAATATTCCACTTAATAAAACAATTGAATGAATTGAAAAATATTTTGAAAATTCAATACAAAAATTCTCTATAAGTGGAATGAAATTGATGAACGAGTAGAGGAAAAAGGGATCAGATTTCAAGTGAAATTTAGAAATATATCAAGTGATTGTTTAGTAATCGAGGACTTATTAATAGTAAATGAACAGTTTCAAAATTAAGAACTTTTTTAACCGGTCAATAAAGTCAATAATGATGGATATACTAAGTCTAGACAAAGTCATTATGATGACCCTAAAATAAACTTAAATCAAAGAGCTTTGGATTAGTATCAACCCTTTTGAATAAGATAACAGATCAGTTTGCCTTAACGATCAAGACTGGATTTCGATCATGCTTTGAACGGAATGACAGATCAGTTTTAACATAAAGATCTTTTAGATTCGTTTATGCAGACAGGATTTAGAAAACTGGCTTCAAGCTTTCTAGTATGAGTGATCACGAAGATTACTGTAGAGTTTTTATGGCAGCGATCGTATTGTAAACAAGATCAGGAGAATAAACTTTCAAGTTTCGAAAAATAAAATTTAGCTTTTAATAATTACAATATTTTCATTTAATAATTACAATATTTTCATGTGAGTCTAAGAAATCGACATATGTATAAACAAGAATTTAAACAATTTATTTTAAATTGTTAATTATATTTATTGATTATTTTATTAGCAGTAGAAATAGTAATTAAAATAAAACTACTAACATTACGGCACTTTGTAGGAAATTCTTGTTATACACCAAGTATTGAATATCAATTTTTTATACAATTTTTATTTAAATAAATTCTATTGAGCAGCCGTTTTATACAACTTAGAACACAATTCTTATATAAAATTAATAAAATATTTAGGTATTTTGTGTATAAATTAATAAACACATCACGTAAAAAACAAATTTTTTTATTTATTAAATAAATAATAATTTTACATTTAAGTAGTGGTGGATACAAATGTAACAACAAAATATGTTTTAAACACAAAATATGCATAAATTTAAACATTTTAAGTATTAAATATTTTCTTCCTGTACACGTTGTTATTATTAGTAATGTGACAGTATTTGTGTTGTTTTACAGTATTTTATTTTTGTTTTTCAAATCCCAAACAGCCCAATTATAAAACTCGATTTAAGAAACTAAATGAAATCAAGCCCACTCGTTTATTTATGTATTTTATACATATATTTTTTGTGTTAAACAAAAAATTGAACCAGACAAAAATCGTTTAATATGTAACTTTAAAAAAAAATCAAAAAAGACTGCCGCCAAAAAGTCAATATGATCGTTAGTCAAGCTTTGAATACAAACAAAACTATAGTGCCCTATAAAAAGTAATGGTACGGGAAAGATATCTATGATCAATTGAGTTCATAGTTCTACTGAGAGGTTACCAGTGATCAGCTTAACTAATATTTAAATGAAACACAATAACTCAAATAAAATTGGAGCTACGGACACAGATGGGACTTTTTGGGTGGGATATGTCTTGAACAAGATAACTGATCAGTTTAATAGAAATATCATTTGAACCATAAGGTTTACACAGCTACTTATTATGAAAACGATCATGTCTTGGAAGAGTAATAAGCTCCCTTAAAATGAACGATCATAACTTGAATAAGGTGACAGATCAGTTAAGATCGTTTGGATTCTGTTTAACATTCATATAGTGTAACATAAGAACGATCTTGGATGTCTTGGACGAGATAGCAGATCAACTTAACATCTGGACATTTGGATTTCGCCATTGCTCAGAGTTATAGGACTACATCAGGGACGTTAGGGTCTACGAAGCTAGATACAAGCTACCTAATATGAGTGATCAAGAATATCTCCGTGTTGTTTTTCTCGAAAGGAACATGCCTTGGTCAAAATGCCAGATCAGTTTTACATAAATATCAGTTTATCAGACAAACAGGAGAACATAAGACTTGCTGAGATTTACGAAGCTGATATTAGTCTGCCTATTATGAGAAAGATCAAGCTTTAAACGAGATGGCAGATCAGTTTAACATAAAGTTAATTTATCTTCTATTGTTCAGGAATATTTGAAAGGATCATTGGAGTTCCATTGCTCATACATTTAGAGGAGCATCAGGCTCGTTAAAGCTTACGCTGATTTTAAGCTACCATCAGGAGATGTTCAGGAATATATGAAAACTTTAACAAGATCAGTTTAACATAAGGATCATTGGAGTTCCGTTGCTCATACATATAAAGCTTGCGATGCTGGTTTTAAGCTACAATCACGAGATGTTCAGGAATATATATGTAAACTTTAGCAAGATTAGTTTAAGATAAGGATCATTCCATTGCTCATACATTTAGAGGAGCATCAGGCTCGCTAAAGCTTACGATGCTGGTTTTAAGCTACCATCACGAGATGTTCAGGAATATACATATGAAAACTTTAACAAGATCAGTTTAACATAAGGATCAATGGAGTTTCGTTGCTCATACATTTGGAGGATCATCAGGTTCGCTAAAGCTTACATTGCTGGCTTTA